AAGAGGAAACAGAGGGCCCTGCTCATTAGAGCTTACAATCTTAGCACAAGCGTGTGTAGAGCGCTTCATGGAATGGGTTTCCATGGCTGAGCAGCTGCATCCAAGCCTTACATCACCAAGCGCAATCCAAAGTGTCCGATGCAGTGGTGTATAGCATACTGCCACTGGACTCTAGAGCAGTGGAGACGTGTTCTCTGGAGTGATGAATCGTGCTTCTGTCTGGCAATCAGATGGACGTGTCTGGATTTGGTGGTTGCCAGGAGAACGGTACTTGCCTGACTCCGTTGTGTTAAGTTTGGTGGAGGGGGATTATGATGTGGCATTGTTTTTCAGGGGTAGGGGTTGGGCTTGGCCCCTTGGTTCCAGTGAAGGGAACTCTTAAGGCGTCAGCATACCAAGACATTTTGGACAATTTCATACTCCCAACTTTGTGGTAACAGTTTGGGGATGGCCCCTTCCTGTTCCATCATGACTGCGCACCAATGCACAAAGCAAGGTCCCTAAAGACATGGATGAGAGTGTTTGGGGTGGAGGAACATGACTGGCCTGCACATAGTCCTGACCTCAACCCGATAGAACACCTTTGGGATGAATTAGAGTGGAGACTGCCAGACCTTCTCGTCCAACAATGCTTGACCTCACAAATGCATTTCTGGAAGAATAATCAAACATTCCCATAGACCAACTCCTAAACCTTGTGGACAGCCTTCCCAGAAGAGTTGAAGATGTTACAGGTGCAAAGGGTGGGCCAACTCAATATTGAACCCTACACACTAAGGATGCCATTAAAGTGCATGTAAAGACAGGCGTCCCAATACTTTTGGGGTGTGTGTGTGTGTGTGTGTGTGTGTGTGTGTGTGTGTAAAAATAATTAGAATTTATTAACTTTTCATGTGACAACATTGAAGAAATGACACTTTGCTACAATGTAAAGTAGTGAGTGTACAGCTTGTATAACAGAGTAAATGGTGAGGCCTGTTCTGAGTGGAACCTGTCCCTGTTAAACCGCTGTATGGTCTTGGCCACTGTGCTGCAGTCAGTTTCAGGGTCTTCACAATCTTCTTATAGCCTAGGCCATCTTTATGTAGAGCAATTTTTTTTTTTTTTTTTTTTTTTTTTTTCCCCCAGAGTTCTTTTGCCATGAGGTGCCATGTTGATCTTTCAGTGACTAGTATAAGAGTGAGAGCGATAATACCAAATTGAACACACCTGCTCCCCATTCACATCTGAGACCTTGTAACACTAACGAGTCACATGACACCGGGAAGGGAAAATGGCTAATTGGGCCAAATTTGGACATTTTTACTTAAGGGTGTGTGAGTTATATTGAGGGGACAGCAAATTTACACTGTTATACAAGCTGTACACTCACTACTTTACATTGTAGCAAAGTGTCATTTCTTCAGTGTTGTCACATGAAAAGATATAATAAATTATTTACAAAAATGTGAGGGGTGTACTCACTTCTGTGAGATTTTGTGTATGCATGTATGCTTTTCCTTTAATTTTTTTGAGGTGTGTGTTTGTGTGGTTAGACAAAAATCTGGAAACGCTACAAAAGTTGCAGGTGTGGCAAAGGTTCTGACAGCATATATAGTTCCCTGGTAAACATCGTCTGATAAGCATAAGTGCAGTCAACTTTGTCAACTGTCCGAAAGACAAAAGGACATTGCACAGGATTGTGACCCGGGAATAAGAACTGCTGCAAAAGTGACTGCAGTCATCAAGCTCAGTCTTCCAAAGCCTGTGCCCACAATATCTGTGCAGAGGGAACTCCATAAGCAAAACATTCATAGGCGAGCTGCGATTGCCAAACCATTAGTGACCAACATTAATGCTCAGAAGAGGGAGAGAGGTGCAACACCCATTAAATTGTGGACTGTCGATCAATGGAAGACTGTAAAATGGTTCGATGAATTGAGCTTAACACTGTTCCCAACCATTGGATGTGTTAGTGTGGCGAACACTGTCCCAAGATTACAACCAGGACTGTCTTGTGCCAACGGTGAAGCATGGTTGTGCCACAGTTATGGTTTAGGAAGTCATATCTTGATATTCTGCAGGCCCCATCACCTTGAATGGTAGTCACTGCCAGTGGCTATGCACAAATTTTGGCTGACCTTGTGTTCACCCCAGTGATGCAGATTTTGTTTCCTGAAGACAGCGACATTTGCCAAGACAATGTTCCAATTCATTCAGCTGCTGTTGTAAAAATCATGGTTTGATGAGCATGCAGACAAAGTCAATCTTGCACCTTTTCTGGGTGCCGCAGTCACCGGACCTCAAAATCATAGAGCCACTATGGTCAATTTTGCAGAACGAGGTGTGGGCTTGGTTTCTGCCTCCGGCATCTCTGCCTGTACTGGAATGATTTTTGCATGAAGAGTGGTATCCAACACCATATTGGGTAATTTCCTTCTTTTACCTGGTGTTGTCATAAATTTGTGTAACCTGTGTGTGTATACATCTCCAGATCTTCTGTATAAGATGAGACTTCTGTCTAGTACAAACTATGAGAAAATCAGATGGGGGGACCACATTCGGAGCAATCGTCCGCTTAATTGGTTCTCCGCTTTCGAGAGCCGAACACATTTCATGTGAAATTATCCAAAGGGACAATCACTAAATTTTTTTTTTTTCTCGTAAGATAACAAATGATTTTCATACGTACATGACATTTACTTTTGATTACATGTTGGTATGTTGCTATGCAAGTTGGAAGTTATACTGGATCATACGAGAATTTTACTAATTCTTAGTATCTCTCTCCAGAAAGGGGGAAAAAACTGCCTGTGACGCTTGTTCCCAGTCCAAGCTATTGAAAAAGCAACTGATAATGAGCCTAATAAATTGGTTGACAGCTGGTATCTGAGCTGGAAACCTGCTAAAATTGTATCAAAATCTGGGATAAGTGATCAGTGTCAATAGAGAGGCAACAAAAAGCCACCATTTGTAACAATGCTAGACAATGTTGTTAGAGATACCCAAAGGTTAAGCCATAACCTAGACCAGGTATGGGCAACCTTTTGAGCATAGTGTGCCGAAAAATGTTTTCAAAGAAATTGAGAGTGCTGATTTTATATGTTAAAAAAAGTCAACTTCACACTATCAATCACACAAAGGAAAAATACTTGAAATAATAGTAAGAAATGATTATTAAGCTTTCAAAGATCAATGATCAGGTGGTAAAATAACTGATAACTTACCCTTGTTCAGATTAGTCCAATTCCTGCTCCGTCACACCACATGCATTCTACTTCTACTGATGCCATTGGGGAAATCTGAAAGTAAAAAACCTTGAGAATTTAGAACTTTAAAGCGTAGTTCCAGTCTCCAAGCCCACATCGCATTTCAAACATTGTTGTAATTCCTCATGTGCGTAATTGATGATGTTGCCCATGTACACATTTGTAACTACTTACAAACTGATTTATTTTTCTTTTGTCCCCTTCAATTCTGGTTGCGGCATGCAGGATCTGGGCAGCTGAAGCCAGCCTGGCTTCATTTCCTGGATTTCGTGCAGTTGGCTACCCAACATACACTTCTGGATCTCGCATCTGCGCAGTAATGACACTGCGAGGCGTACTTTGTGTACCTGCATTAGATGCTCGAAGGATCAAGGGATCAATGACATAGATATCCCAGGCGTCAGTGGGCCAGGCTGACTATGTAACCGCCTAGGCGGCTGCAGCTAGAGGTCATGGGACAATACTAAAAAATACTTTTTTTCAGAAATTTCTACATACCAATATCCCAACCTTAATTCTAAATGTGGGCAATTCTGAGAAATGAATGGAACTCTGCTTTTAGGTATTTCTAACAGCTTTAGAAGCGCCTGCTTTTTGTTTCTTTGTCAGAGGGCTGCCAGGCTACCTAGATCTGTTCTCCTAGAAAGAAGCAAAGATATATTCTTTTCTAAAATGTGAGTTGGCTCTTACATTAAATATTCTGCAGCCAGTGGACCTTCAGTCTTTTCACGTTTTGAGAGACTACTTAATAGTATGTAGTAAAAAGGAAAAAAAAAATGTTTACAAAGTTCAGTAGATGAAGTTGCATTTACACACACAACTGAAAGATTCTTTGCAGTGCTCATCTCTTCTCAAAGGGCCCAGTCTAAGGTTTTAGACAAACAAGTAGCTTCTACTGTGCTAGATTTTTTTAGATCACCCCTGCTGCTCTGAAAATCAATTCTCATGGATTTAATTTTTGTATTAAAAATTGTATACCTAGAGTAAAGAAACTGCTACCAGTCAGTTTAAAAACATTTTAAAACCTAGATCAACACAAAGTGCATTGCAGTGAGTGTTTGGAACACGCCAGGACAAACGTCAATAACGGAAGCTTTAGGCCTCATGTACACATGAACTCACCTAGCCGTTAAACTCTCCTGTCAGCAGGAAAACGCTAAACTTGTGTAAACGCGGTACTGCGTTTACCACTTGGACGTTAATTCATTTGATTGGCCAGAGTACTTTCCATTGACATGGATAAACGCCCAAGCACTAAATGTGGCTAGCATTTAGCCACATGTACACGTGTTTTTGTCTCGTTCAGCAATTTGTGGCCAAAGTGTTCCTCTCCTGAACTCTATTATTCTGCGCTCAGAAGAGGAGCGTTTAACGGCCCCTAAACTCTGGTAAAAGCTATGTGTACATGGACACGTAGGCTTTTGAGTTGCGTTCATGGGCTTTGGCAAAAAAAAAGTCAAAAGCTCCTAAACTCGTGTTTTTTTAGGAGCAACAGTGTACATGAGTACTTCCTTGACTCTGATTCAGCCCTTTGTTGAATTTCTGTCCATTTGAAATCTGGAGTGGAAGCTATACTAATTGATGAATTTCAGTGACTCCATCTAAAATGGGTCAGGAAAAAACAAACAGTCACAAAAAAAAAAACCCTTTTTGTAATATCTGCTACCTTTTTGGCTCTGATAGCAGTATGCTGTATTTTTGCTTACATGTTTCATATGTGATTTTCTGTATTTTTTTTTTTTTCTCCTGCAGGGATGCATGGAAGTCACTGGGCGATTACAGTCGGCAGCAAGCAATGCATGATTATATAGAGACTATAAAAAAGCTTGATCCAGACTGGACCCCAAAGGTAAAGATATCAAAGAATAACCTCCTGTATTCTATATTTATGGTAAAGTAACTTATGACTTAGTATTGGTTACCTCTTTTCTTTTCTGAACTCTCATTCCATGCTCTTCCAGTCTTATACAGATTTATTGGGATGTCATTGATTTCTTGTAAGCTTCTGTTTCTCTAGCAGGGTTGCCATCTATTGCTGTGTTTGCAGTAAGCATTACTTATGACAGCTTTTGGCCCACCCAGAGTACAGAACAGAGCAGCTTAGAGCACAGTAAGTGCGTGTTGCATGCCTCTTCAACATATCAGCAACTTTTGTAAAAACCTGAAATAGAGCCAGGCACCGCAGCAGTTCTACTGAGCATGGGCAAACATCCCATTGCCTTGGGTGAGACATCAACTTTGTAGCCATCCTAAATGCAGCAGACCTCTGATGTGCACGTGTGTGATAATACATGCAGGCTCCTTTTGGCTACCTATAGCATGCATATTGGAAGCTTAGAACCTTTTAAAACACAGATTCACTTTAAAGCTGACTGCCAGGCAGTAGCCATATGCATAGTTGAAATATGGGAACTGCTTAACCTAAGAGGATTTGTGTTTCCCATCCGGTTGAGATTTACACAGCTCTGTCTTGTCTGGCGGGGCAGAAGTCTTACTGTTTCTCTCCTGACGTTAGTGATATTAGGACCTCATACACACAGGATGCTTTGCAAGCTCCCCAAAAGTCTTTCCTTCTGTCAGTAACGACGTGGCAGAAAACAAACTGGCGCTTCTAAAAACCGTGTAACGCTTTTTACATGCATTTACAGGCGTCAAGCTCTTGGGTGTTAATTTTATTGAATCGATGAATTTCAGATAATTATTTCTTCTGGCCATTAAAAATAATTAACACTCTAGCGCTAAATACGCCTAGCGTTAACACGCATCTACAAGTGCTTTTCTTTTTTTTTTTTTTTTTTTGCCAAAGCTCTGCTACTCCTGGACGCACTGGCAGTGGTTTTCTTTTCCTGCCTCTAAAAGCCCCAGCTACTAAACGCTGCTAAAAGTTTGTGTGCACAGACAGACTCGGGGCTCTGAGAAAGAGGCAAGTCCTCGAAACGCATCAGCCTATTGGATGTCTACACTCCCTATTGCGGACTGTTACTCAGCGCGGTGTTGACCCAGCTGTTCTTTTATGACGTGCTTTGACTTTATTGTCGTTTGTGAGTACAACACCTACTTTATTTCTTATTAAACATTTTTTATGGTAATGCACTAGGCCTGTGCGCCCTCTGTTTGTTCTTTCCTCATTGAAAGTTGCAAACTGCAAGTGCTGGGGTAAGAAATTAAACAAGTCACTCACTGGGGAATATGTTTTTTGTTGTGCTTTTGCTAAAAATGCTGTGGGGTTATCACTTCTTTAGGCAACACAGAAAAGAAAAAGTTACTATGGTCTCCCCTCATACCAGCATATCCTTTGACCCATAAGCACTGCAGCACAACTTATTGGTTCCTTGTGCAATTTATGCCGCTCTCAATCTGAGCTCTGCTGCACACGGTTTGTTCACTAGCTTAAATTCGGATACTTATACTGATCGCAATTAGAAAAAAATCAATTAATGTGTTAATCAATATAGACCATTTCTAAAGGCAAAAGATTAAAATAGACCTGTTCTACTCACCTGCTCTGTGTATTCGACAGCTTGGCTGTATGCACACATGGGCACACACAAAGCAGCTTGGTCCACCAATCATTCTTTGCTCACAGGATTTGACTGACCGCAGCAGGAGCCAATGGCTCTCACTGCTATCAGCAAAGCCTGTGAGAGAGGGGAGCGAAGGGAAGAGAAGAACTGCAGCCAGGGACACCAGAGAATTGATGTTGGAGTCAGGCAAATATTTGGGCGAGGGTGCAGCAAGTGGTAAAAACATTCTTTACCTTCATGTAAGGAATGCATTAAGTTAAAAAAAAGTTTGAGTGTTACAACCAGTGTAAATTGTAACTAAAGGAAAACCACTTTTTTTTTTTTTTTTTTTTTTTTTTGAGAGAATTGGATAGATTGGAGGTTTTTTATTGCTATCCATGCCCCCCATTAGGGAGATTCATCCTCTTTTTGTCATGTTTAGCATTATACTCAAAAGTGAAAGTAAAAGAAAATCCCAGTTTTCCCAGTGGTATACAGATGGCCAAAAAGGGTTATAACCTTCCCGTTATACTACCCAAAATGCAGAAAAAAACACTGCATTGCGGTGGTGTACGGTGGAAAAAAAAAAAAGTACTGTGTGCAGCGCAGTGTGTTGCAATCCACTGCCTCACACTGTGTATGGTGGCCAGTTTAACTTTTTGAAATGTCTTTGTTGACACTTCAGTAACATTTGTTTAAAAAAAAAAAATAGTATACAGTGTGATGCGCCAAGATCAGTTATCAGCACTACTCTGATCCTGCCAGACTGCACTGCACATTAGCCACTGTGTTGTAATGCAGTGGCTGTTGTGAGCATACCCTTATAGCAACCTTCACCTAGGATGTTCCTATCCTGCCTTTTACTCCCAAAAAAGTAAAGGCACCTTTTTCAAAAAACAATTTCCAAATGACAAAACTAAAATACCCAATGACTCTTCCTTGCAGGCTCTTCTTTCTTTCCATGTTTTTTTTTTCGTCAGGAAGATAGCAGGAAGTTCCCACACATTATTGAATTTTTTCAGGATCTCATTAATTCATGCATAGCTCTGTAGCTTCTCTTAGCCCATGTGACACTAGACATTTTACAATATCTTGCTCTTAACCCTAACATGCGACTTGGGACACATAAAGGTTCCTGCACTACTTTGATGCAACTCGAGTTCCAGAGAGTGTAAAGTAGCATTAAAGTCACACTACATAAACAGAACTGTCACACTTTCCTATTCGCCAAAACGAATGCGAGTTTGGACATATAAAGGTTTTTGCATGTCTTTGCTACATGAGTGCCAGAGAGTGTAAAGTCACATCAAAGTTGCACTACATTACTAAACTGTCATACTAAACTTCCCTATAAGCCAATAAAGGCAAAATGCATAAAACCCGCAATGCTTCGGTTTTTGTGCGGCTCCATTGAAGTCTATTACTTACAAAATGCAATCTGCTGCGGGGGAAAAAATTCCCTGACCCTTTCCAAAAAAATGCACTGGCTCAAAACGCACAGATGTGAACTAGATCAATAAGAAACCATGTTAAATGGACTGTAGTATGCTGCTGCAGAATGAATTAGCAAAGGCATAGGTGTGAACCAAGAGGAAGTGGGGGCCACATTTTTAAATTAGTACCTCTCCCAATAAGCCTTGTAACAGCACCGGGATAAGGAGACTTCAAATCCCCAGATTAGGATACCAAGGGCCACAAAAGCTTGCAAACATTTCTTACACGTAATACTTTATAAATGGATTAGATAGAGCAGGACTGAGTTGTTAGGACCATTGAGTTGCACTAAATGCACATTTTACCATAATAAATGGGAATCCACCATACTCACTCTATCACCTTGCAATGCCATTCATTATCAGGGGCACCTTAACTACAGTTGTGTTCAAAATAATAGCAGTCAGACATCACTAACCTGATCAATCACTGTTTTTGGTAGAAATGATATTTCTACATGGCAAATAATTTACTAGCACATGTATTAGAGTAATAGAAATCCAACAGACCCAACAGTCATGACATGCATGCTGCTGATTCTGTGTAATTGAATCACTAATTGAAAGGGGTATGTTCAAAATAATAGCAGTGTGGAGTTCTATTAGTGAGGTCATTCATTCTTAGAAAAACAGGTGGCAATTATTGCCCTTATTTAAGGAAGGCAGCAAATGTTTTACATGCTGGTTACAGTGCATTTCTCTCTGAAATTCTGAGAAAAATGGGTAGTTCCAGACATTGTCGGAAGAACAGAACGTACCTTGATTAAAAAGTCGATTGGAGAGGAGAAAACTTATAAAGATGTGCAGAAAATGATAGGCTGCTCAGCTAAAATGATTGCAAATGCTTTAAAATAGCAACCAAAACCTGAAAGACTTTGAAGAAAGCGAAAAACTACCATTCAAATGGATAGAAGAATAGCCAAAATGGCAAGGACTCAGCCAACAATCGGCTCCAGGAAGATCGAAGAAGGTCTAAAGTTACCTGTGAGTACTGTTACAATTAGAAGACGCCTATGTGAAGCCAAGCTATCTGCAAGAAGCCCCCGCAAAGTCCCACTGTTGAAAAAAAAGACACGTGCTGAAGAGGTTACAATTTGCCAAAGAGCACACTGACTGGCCTAAAGAGAAATGGCGCAACATTTTGTGGACTGATGAAAATAAGATTGTTCTTTTTGGGTCTAGTGGCCGGAGACAGTTTGTCAGACGACCCCCAAACACTGAATTCAAGCCACAGTACACTGTGAAGACAGTGAAGCATGGTTGCGCAAGCATCATGATATGGGGATGTTTCTCATACTACGGTGTTGGGCCTATTTATCGCATACCAGGGATCATGGATCAGTTTGAATACATCAGAATACTTGAAGAGGTTATGCTGAAGAGGAAATGCCCTTGAAATGGGTGTTCCAACAAGACAACGACCCCAAACACACCAGTAAACGTGCAACATCTTGGTTCCAGACCAACAAGATTGACGTTATGGAGTGGCCAGCCCAATCCCTGGATCTTAATCCAATAGAAAACTTGTGGGGGGTGACATCAAAAATGCAGTTTCTGAGGCAAAACCAAGAAATAGAGAAGAACTGTGGAATGTAGTCCAATCATCCTGGGCTGGAATACCTGTTCACAGGTGCCAGAAGTTGGTTGACTCCATGCAACACAGATGTACAGCAGTTCTCAAAACAGTGCTTATACAACTAAATATTAAGTGATTCAAAGGAAAGCAAAATCTTCAAACATTTTTCAGTTTATATAGTGAATGTTTGAGTTTGTAAAGAAGAATACAAACACTGCTATTTTTTTGAACAGTCTAATATTCACTTTTCTTCTATTCCAAATCAAAACATGAACTA